CCCCCCCCCCCCCCCCCTCTACCTGTCGAAGACAAAAATAACCGGAAGTTGAAAATAGCAAACTGGAAGTGTTTCTCATATAACCGCGTTCATCTGCGCACAAAGTAGTTAATTGCCTGGCGTGTGATTGTACGGAGAAAACTTGAAAATGGGCAAGGATGTACGAGGAATAGAAAGAGGGAAATGCAATGTTGCAGTGTTGGAGTGCAACCCCCACCAATGGCCCTGAGCCGGACGACTTCCAGAATCGAGCTCAGATTAAGCGATTGTTTGAAGAAAGTGAACTAGTCAGTAGGGACAGTGAGGCTGTTAGAAAGTTTTCAGATAAATATATTGTCCCCGAAAAGCTAGTGGCAGAGTATGTTGAGCACCTTGCCCAGATAAAAATGCGCAAGGAGAAGAAGAAAGAGGAGACTGAAAGGGATCGAATGGAACGGCTGAACCAGCAGTACAATGACATTGACTTGGCTGGACTGTACAACTCCGATACGCTGTCGTCCTTGAGGGTGGACGAGCTATCCTTGTACTTTTCCCATCACAAGATCACCTTCAAAGGGAAGAGAGCTGAAAAGGTCGCAATGATCAAAGCGCACATTGGCAGCTTGCCTTACAATTCAGTGGAGTGTCAACAACTTCGGCAGCCCCCGCGAAGAAATGTGAGGCAACAAGCGACCTCATCACTTTCCGAGGTCGAAACTGACTCGCAAAGTGATGTAGTAGATCGAGTTGTCGGTTCAAGCCCGAGTAGCTTATGTAAAGAAATCCTCACCGGAGACTGATTTCATACCAGAACCCCGCGCGGAAGCATCAAAATATGGGCGAAAGCGGACACGGGTCGAGAGAGACAATTATGTTAGTTGGGAGAAGATAGTTTTTTGATCTATAAATTTTTAATTTTTCGACACCTGTAAATAATTTAGATTAATCTCCACTGGTAGCTTTGCTTGTTATACAAAATAGAAGCGACATGGGGTAATTTTTTCCTTGCCAAAAAAACTGTGACCCTCCCCCGGTTGGGAATAAAACAGGTTTGACCTTCCCCAATTTGTAAAAAATTTAAGAAACGTCCTTCCCTAAGCTTATGGGTTTATTCAAAGCGATGTCAATTTTTCTCACCTCGATGGAAGAAGTAATTCTCTTGCGTTTGCTAGGGACCACTAAGTCGTCCTTGACTTAAAGTTCTGGCGGTAACACATTTTCTTTCTGTCTGAACAAAGATCTCAGGACTGCTCGAAGTCGGCGAACTTTTGTGGCACCTTTACATCCTGTCTACGTGAGTTCCCCGTTCTGTCATTTCTCTCTGCTCCTTGAGCGTCTGATCAGCCTTCTCTTTAAAGACACTAAGCCCCTCGAAGAACTTTTCAAATTTGTCCAATTCCCTTCTACATTTCACGCACAAAACGGAAGAAGCAGTGCTCTCCTTGTTGACGGGAAATCCTAGCACAGATGACAACTTTGCGCTATATTTTGCTCTTTCGAACGGACACCGTCGAATAAGTTGAACTTTCCATATCCAGATATTATATAACAAATTTACATTTCACACTCTGCAAAAATTATTTACACTATATACACTATTTACAGACGTCAATCTTTTTACCGGAGTTATCGAAACACCGCTCACGAAATTCGCCATCCCTCAATTTCACTGCATTACGCGCCGTTTTACGCATCACTGCCCCTCGTGCAGACATGTCCAATTGCGAAAACGAACAGATCCCACAAAAAAACCGGTTTGGCGAGTTATCTTGTTTCAAAAGTGAGGTTCGTAACTACCGTGACCAGATAAGGGTTTTTTCCCGCTCGTCACGATCGCAGCTTCGTCGCTCAATTTTCGCCGCAAACAACAGGAAAAAAAACCTCTGGCACCCAGGGTAGTGTAAGATGTCATTTTGTGAAATTTGGCATTTATTTTCTGGGACTCTCATAAGAAATATTCTTTGGTGTTATTACAGATATCTAATCACATCAATAGCCCTTCAAAAATGTAAAAAAGAAATTCATAGTTTAATCGTAGAATATACACCCAGGTATCGCGGGTGGCACGATTCCACATAATAGAACATAACGCGTGGGAAGGGCACAGAGTAGTACCACGCCGCCTGAAGTAGTTAACGGATAAGTAAAAACTGCCAACTCAAGAAACACCAGACATTTGGCCGGTCATTATGCGTGCCAGCAGCTGCTCTCGCCGCTTAACTCCAACTTAAGAAAAGGCGACTAAAACTGACTTCTTGAGGATCAAAGAAGCTCCATAAAAAATCGCAGAAAAATTTTGAGATTTGACGCACTTGTTCTTTCACAAACTTTCAATTCGAAATATATCTTATTTTTTTGTTGCTGTAGTATATAAATGATTGTACATGCAGAGATCTTCTGCTGTAAGAAAAGATTAATCTTTTAGTTATTAATCTTTACAAAGTATCTTAATACGGAGGCATTTCATTACATTCTTTTAACTTAACTTACCAACAATGCTTCCCTGATCAAAAACGTCTATGAAAAACGACGTCGCTTCGTCGATTTTGTGTCGACAGGTATACGGTCGATAAAGTAATGACCAGAGTAAAACGTTGGCGTCTCATTTTACTTGAACTTCTTTAATTAAAATAAGTTTAATTAACAAAAGCGTTGTTTGTTAGTTTTCCGCAGTATTATTAAATGGAATTATTTAAAACCCATGGAGGTAATTTTTAAAAAAGTGGTGATTTTCAGTATCTATACTAGAAGTGGATTTGGTTTTGAACGCCGGGCTCTCTGCGCCCGTCTCGTGTCGAGCCTTCAAACCTTATAAGAAGTACCGGCCAAGAAACTGGGATTCTAATTAATCAATCGCTAGTTTTTTAGGTCTTTCGACAAAACATTGACAAATAACAAGTTTTGTAGCCTACGTAGCAGGCGCTTGGAAGTAGTGGGCGAAAGAGAGAATGGGCGCGCGCGAGGGAAACAATGTAAACAAATCTACAGGGCTTATTGATAATTGCAATTTGTTTTTAATAGTTCTTATTAATACACTGTATTTGCCCCCTGCAATTTTGTTTATTTTTTGTGCCTAGTATGTAATTATCACAGATAAGAGTGAACTATTTAAGTATCAGTCTGTAGCAAAAACAACGGTAGCCTTAGTTACGGTTTCATTTTATTAAAATTATAAACTACAAAAATTTAATGGAAAAGCTACTCTCATGCTGACGTGCAATGTCAACTCTTTCTCTTTATACTCCATGGGCAGTTTTTATGTAGTTTCTCCATCACCTTTTCTTAGCTGAATTCAGTATGTATTTCGTTTTGACTCCCGATGCTCGTACCCGTACAGCATAACAAAATTCAAAATATTTGTTGTGGCGGTCAATTTAGCGCTGTTTCGGTGAATGAAAAAAATCATTTACACCTCAAGGCTCTAGTTTGGGCCTGCCTTTGTTGGGGCCAATAAAGTCCATTTTTCTAGGACTGATATTGATTACCACTGAACAGACTGAGATGTGTCCCAGAGTGGGCTGGGATGGGTATTTAATAGGGTTCTTCTGGCTCAAATTGTGCTTAAGCGGTTGCACGAAAGGCTGAATCATCAGACTTTGGTTTGCAGGGATGTATTGACACCTTGTGTTAAAACAGATCATAAAAGAGTCGAGCTCGCCTGAGCCCAAAACATTCCCATAAAGTAGCGTAATTCGACACAGTACCGAATCTGTCTCACATACAACCTCAAAACTAGCAATTGTGAGTCCAAACGCGGGAAATAAAGTTGATGGCGTGGCCAAGCGTTGTATGGCTCTTCCGTGTACAAACTGAATTGGCGTAAAGGTGATGTAAGTATGCCGAAGAATTGCTTTAAATTCTTCTTTTACAACTTGATTTCCGACTGTCACAAAGAAATGATAAATGAAATGAATTAACGAACGATTATTTCAAACGATTGTACTCAAGGAAGAGTCGTAAGAGTCAATTACACAAAGGCTTGTACCTGTGATATTTTTGCAAATGTTTTATTCGGTATATTCTAGTATAGCCACAAACTATTAGAGATGTGTCGAACTTGAGAATAGGTGAACCCTACTTTACCAGTCAAAATATATTCATTGCGTCGATTTTTATTAATTTTCTGGTAATTAGGATTGTTATACTGTCTTAATAGCATGTAAGATCTGTGTCGACAGGTATACGGTCGATAAAGTAATGACCAGAGTAAACCGTTGGCGTCTCATTTTACTTGAACTTCTTTAATTAAAATAAATTTAATTAACAAAAGCGTTGTTTGTAGTTTTCCGCAGTATTATTTAATGGAATTATTTAAAACCCATGGAGGTAATTTTTAAAAAAGTGGTGATTTTCAGTATCTATACTAGAGGTGGATTTGGTTTTGAACGCCGGGCTCTCTGCGCCCGTCTCGTGTCGAGCCTTAAAACCTTATAAGAAGTACCGGCCAAGAAACTGGGATTCTAATTAATCAATCGCTAGTTTTTTAGGTCTTTCGACAAAACGTTGACAAATAACAAGTTTTGAAACAATGTAAACAAATCTACAGGGCTTATTGATAATTGCAATTTGTTTTTAATAGTTCTTATTAATACACTGTATTTGCCCCCTGCAATTTTGTTTATTTTTGTGCCTAGTATGTAATTATCACAGATAAGAGTGAACTATTTAAGTATCAGTCTGTAGCAAAAACAACGGTAGCCTTAGTTACGGTTTCATTTTATTAAAATTATAAACTACAAAAATTTAATGGAAAAGCTACTCTCATGCTGACGTGCAATGTCAACTCTTTCTCTTTATACTCCATGGGCAGTTTTTATGTAGTTTCTCCATCACCTTTTCTTAGCTGAATTCAGTATGTATTTCGTTTTGACTCCCGATGCTCGTACCCGTACAGCATAACAAAATTCAAAATATTTGTTGTGGCGGTCAATTTAGCGCTGTTTCGGTGAATGAAAAAAATCATTTACACCTCAAGGCTCTAGTTTGGGCCTGCCTTTGTTGGGGCCAATAAAGTCCATTTTTCTAGGACTGATGTTGATCACCACTGAACAGACTGAGATGTGTCCCAGAGTGGGCTGGGATGGGTATTTAATAGGGTTCTTCTGGCTCAAATTGTGCTTAAGCGGTTGCACGAAAGGCTGAATCATCAGACTTTGGTTTGCAGGGATGTATTGACACCTTGTGTTAAAACAGATCATAAAAGAGGCGAGCTCGCCTGAGCCCAAAATATTCCCATAAAGTAGCGTAATTCGACACGGCACCGAATCTGTCTCACATACAACCTCAAAACTAGCAATTTTGAGTCCAAACGCGGGAAATAAAGTTGATGGCGTGGCCAAGCGTTGTATGGCTCTTCCGTGTACAAACTGAATTGGCGTAAAGGTGATGTAAGTATGCCGAAGAATTGCTTTAAATTCTTCTTTTACAACTTGATTTCCGACTGTCATAAAGAAATGATAAATGAAATGAATTAACGAACGATTATTTCAAACGATTGTNAAATAAAGTTGATGGCGTGGCCAAGCGTTGTATGGCTCTTCCGTGTACAAACTGAATTGGCGTAAAGGTGATGTAAGTATGCCGAAGAATTGCTTTAAATTCTTCTTTTACAACTTGATTTCCGACTGTCATAAAGAAATGATAAATGAAATGAATTAACGAACGATTATTTCAAACGATTGTACTCAAGGAAGAGTCGTTAAAGTCAATCACAAAAAGGCTTGTACCTGTGATATTTTTGCAAATGTTTTATTCGGTATATTCTAGTATAGGCCACAAACTATGAGAGATGTGTCGAACTTGAGAATAGGTGAACCCGACTTCACCAGTCAAGTTATATTCATTGGGTCGATTTTTATTAATTTTCTGGCAATTAGGATTGTTATACTGTCTTTAATAGTATGTAAGATCTGGAACTTGTTTTTTTTTCCTCTAGATTTAATATCGAAAGTATTAAGGGACGAAGACCTGAATTTAAACACTCAATTTTCTTTTCTATATTTTTTATATTTCAGAACACGAAAGTAAAACGTTTGTGTGAACTTGCCTGAGTTTGACTCGTGCTTCTTGCTTGGGCTTGGTCAATTGTACGCACTGATAGCTTTCTCGAGCTCCTTCGAGGTAACTGACGATCAAGAACATGAATTTCGACAAACCAAAATTCGTTTTAGATTTAGGAGATCTAAGTGATTAGGTGTTCCACCCTACACGACTTGCAATGTTTGTGTCGCCAAAAGTGTTGTACGATTCTTATATTTCAATTATTCCAGTTCGAGTTTCTCGCAACGACTGCGGCAAAGCTGTCACAAAAATACGCATCATGAGAGAAACTCTGCATTCAAGGGATGTTAAACTCGGTACCGTTCCTTACAGCTATCTCGGAACTTGAAATTGCGAGGCAGTTTGCAAGAATTTTTTTTTTTAGCGTAATGGAGCCTTATTTACCAGTTAGAGGAGTCGGGTGAGACTGAGTGGTCGCATCAAATTGCACTATGGCGGGGCTGTTTTTTCAGGGACGCTGTTGGTTCGTTAACGAGAGCGTTTTCGTTACATGAAATGCAAATTTATTGGAACAAAAGAAAGGGTTTGCAAAAGAAAGGTCACAGTGGCCCACTTGCCGAGATATCGTTGTCAGCCCAACTTCTTATATAAACTGACAGCGACAGTTTAAAGTGGATCAAGCTATGAGCTCGCAGGGTCAGCTAACGTAGCGTAACCGGGCTGGCTCACCTCATATAAAGAGGCCCTTATCCTTCGTCCAACTCTGTGAGGGCCTCGCATGTTTACCTGGAGTAAAGTGGGGGACCCCAGATAGGTGAGGTAACATGTGGTCGGTTACTCCACCTATGATGTAAGCGTGACCATATGAAAATGAGAAATTATATGGACAGGCGGGTTATCTCACCTACCTCCCCCACCTCCGTGAAAACAGGCCCTCAGATCCAGTTACAAATCGTTACTTTTTCTTGCATTTGTTCCGATGTTCCAGAAGTGATCAAACTTCCTCATTTTTGTCCAAACTTTTCACCATCTAAAAAAGGTCGATTACTCTCTGCCCTCTTCAAAACCTCTTGCCTTAAACTTGAAAAAAAAGCGCGACAGTTTTTTGCATCTAGGCCAAGGTGAGAAAAAAAAAACTGAAATTTCGATTTACATAGCTTGTGTGCATTTATTGAAGGTCCTTAACACCTGTCACTCTACATGTGATAGTATCCATTAATCAACGAGCATAATCCGATTGCAATAAGTCATGTTTCGTATTTGTGACGCAATGTGGTTGTAACCACGATGCAGATTCCTGTCCACAAAAGAGACTAAAACAATTGAAAAGGTGCTTGAAAGTTAATTTCGGGAAACAATACTCAAAACGAGTCTCAACAAAGATTCAACCGTGTTTCCTATTTACTTTTCCCCTGTACTCGTCCTCTAAGGGAAATGGAGAAAGCCTATGCCAATGCCTACGCCTAAATCTTTAAGTCCACGTTATTCCGCGCGGCTTACATTGTCCGCCGTTCGTCTTGTCTACGTCAATAAAATGCATTGACCGAGAAGGCCTGTGGAGACGCCGTACAGGAAGCCCACAATTAACAGCTGACAACAGTCGACAACAGAGGAATTAGGGTCCCCGTGGTGAGAGCCCGGGGGCCTCCCCCAGATCTGCCACTGTATGTTATTTACTGTTTGACAAATCATGAGCGTTTTTTTTCCCTATTTTTTCTCTTTATTCACTTTCTTTTTCATCGAGGCACAAGGAATACTAGCACTTTAGAAAGTTAAGCCTACAACTACACCTCCACCTTTAAAATTCTACAGCCTTGAAATTTCACTTGGAAGGTGCACTTCATTGTTGCCTCATCGCAAGTAGACTGCCAAGACATCTGCCTCTTCAACATTGCCTGAAATTAAGAAAAACGTATTGTGGATCTTGAGACTGACACAGGAATAACCACAGAGGGAGAAAAGAAAGAAGGAGCTGCACCGTACATTTCTTAATAAAAAGACTACATGTATTATTTTTTGTTGGGAGAAAACTAAGTTAAAAGGTGTTTATAAAAGCTGAAATGTAGGAGGGGAGGAAAATGGCCGAATAGACTTCATATTTTCACCCTTATGAACCTAATGCACAGTCTTTTGAATGCGAAGCAGACTCTCTGCTCGGCCGCTTATCAATTTGTCCACTAGGTGCAGAATCGATAGGCTTCTCAACAAAATATAAAGCACTCGCACGACTGCAGGGTACCAATCACAGGATGGAGGTGACTTTGCGATTATCGCCATCCACCCAGCATCTTTAAGACAACCCCCATAGTTACTGTTGATGAGGAAGTGACGGCCGATGCCTGGATCTCAATGGATTGAAAAGTAGTTGTTTGGCTGAGTCTTCATGTCATTCCAGGAGCTCTTATTCAGCCTGGAGAATGAAAACTAGTTGAGTTTGTCTGATCCCTTAGCGTTGAATTTCAACTTCTTCATCAGCTTTCCTATTTTATACAGGACAACTCTCGCCTTTAGGAAATCAAGCAAAAATAGAATTTAACTGAATTCTTAGGCCATGTTCCACATGAATCCGAGTATTTTTGAAACCGCTTATATTATTACACAATTTAGGCTTTCGTCCACACCAGCGCGCTAGCATGGGCTTCTGTCCACACGAAACCAGTGAATATGTTCACCGAGATCGCGTATTTTTGAAACCGTTCTCGATCCAGAGTGGTTTGAGACCCGGTTCACACGAATCGGGGTAAATCACCATGTGGTTTAAATATGTCCCGGCAGATTCGTATGGACGAGGCCTTCATTCTATATTAGTAGCTTTGAAAGTAAAGCAAACTCCTAAATTAATTGCTTTGCCCTTGTCAGACACGCAAGTAGGGACAGAAACAAACAAACAAACCAACAAAAAGCAAACGAAATTATATCATTTATAAGTTGTTGACCATAAATTATATTTTCTTTGCAGCAAGTCATTTTGATTTAATGCGGGATCATTATATGCAATTTCCGGCATGACAAATGGAGAAGACATGGCATCAATACCCTGCAAAGGGCAAGGGGGGATAAAGGCGCGCGAGATCGCGAACGACGCACGAGGATGAAGGTACTCGCGCGAATTGCCGCCTTTTCTTTCCCCATCAAACGTCTGCGTAGTCTGATATTCAGACGCTCCAGGTCACTCGCTTTCACGTACGCTTCCACATATTCTCTCGTAGCCCACGAGCAAGCTGCAGAAACTTCTGAGACCCTGTGAGGGTTCCCGGTCTGTCATGCAGGTTATAGAGCATTTTACTGGCAGATTTATGAATGCAATATTACAGCAGAAATAAAATAAAATATGTAATACCTCCGTTGGTCCAATGTCTTGCCACTTTAAAACGATCCTGTTTTTGTAGTGGTTAAAGTGCCTGTTAGTGACTTCAAGAGCTACAAAGACTTTCTCAGAATATGTCTGGTCAGATGTGTATGTACTATACACGTTTTTATTCACTCCAGACACAGCCTTAAACGCCATAGTCCAGCCTATAAATAGCAGAAGAAACAAAAGTCTTTAAGAACAAAGGAATAGACCAATTTTGATCATGATGTATTACAATTCATACTTGGCTTCGAGGCTTGGGGGAATAATACAAACGAAATGTACTATTCATTGCTGAGCCTAATAAGAGGCCCTGCCAGGGGGGGCTCCCATGTCGCTCGTCTGAATTTTAAAACGTCTCGTGTCGGTGTTTATTAATGCTTCACGTCGCTGTCGGAAATTGAACGAAAATTCTTTGTCTTTGTCGGAATTTTAGAAAAGGGGAATAGCGATGGGTTTTAAAGAAACCATTATAGTTGAGCAATTTCTCAGTTAACCTTTCGCGTATAGAACACCTATACATCGCCATTCACAATTATGGGTGTGTTCCTTTCGGTGAATCCAGAAACGGATTTGGATCTTAAAACGGATTTCACGTTCCTTTCGGCAAATCCAAATTCAGATTTTTGATCTGGTGAATCCTTTTTGAAAAAGGATTCACATTGGATTTGAAATCCGAAGAATCCGAATCCAGATTAACGGATTAGTCATCTACGCTGTTCCATTCACAGTGGATTCGCAATTAGTCAGATGATCCAGCTGTACTTCCAGTTGAAGTATTCCCGTAGAGTTTCCTAATTGCTGCCATTTGCCGTAAAACATCTGAAAACACTAGAAGATTGTTCATGGTGGTACAGTAAAATGTCCATGTGCTGACCATTTGTCGCTAAAGATTGCTTAAAAACACAAATAACTAAAAGGGACAAATAACTGCTATCTTTCTACAAACTCGCTCTTGGACGCGATAGGCACTCGATCGTGTTACATAGAAAACCGAGCTACGAAACTGGATCAAACTGAGCCGACAACCTTTAGATAATTTTCAACTTTAACACGCTACTTTCTTGATCTGTTTATGTTCCATCGTCGTTATTCGAACTGCCGACCACAAAATTCTGCACGGTATAATCGCATAATTTGTCAAACAGTAGAAAACATGTCATTTCTTGAGAGGCTCAGGCTGTCATGCATATTGCACGCGTTTGCGAAAGGTTACCAAGGTCACAAATCCAATTTCGGATTTCACGTTCCTTTCGACCGCGAAATCCGGCAAATCTCGGATCAGAAATCCGTTTTTGGATTCGCTTAAAGGAACACTGTCAGCACACCCTAAGTGATCCACGTTCAACATTTTAAGACTAACTGACCTGATAAATCGTACGTGAAGGCCGGTTAACGGTGGTCTGCGCTGTGCGGTGTTTAAGTTACCTAGTCCCTGGTCTCTCCACCGTCGTCATCGTCCGACAGAGGTCGACAAGGATATGAGAAGTTCAGAAACAAGCAAAGTATTCACCATTTTCACATAGACCATAATTCACCCTGTTTACCCCCCAAAACTTTGCATAACCATTGTTTTCGATTTCTCTTGGGACGACTGTAATACCCTGGAGAATTGGGAAACATTGGTTATGCAAAATTCTGAGGGGGAAAACAAGGTGCGTCATGGCCTATATGAAAGTAGTGATTACAAGAGATGTAAAGCGAGCGTAAATTAAGTTATTTGACAGACAACCTAGTCCCAAGGTCTCCCAGGAGTTGTGCGGGGTTGCGTAAATGAAGACTACGCGACGGGCCAACGCGACGCGCTCAGGAGGGTCTACTGAAACTCCCTGACGAGAGACAACCTCTGAAGCGTAAGGAAAATTGACGAAAATTACTTCTTCTAGGCATTCAGACTGGTGATAAATTAGCCAAACCACCGTTCTTTGTCGCATATTCTCGGCTTTGCCGTCACTGTCGCAATTTGGCAGCGGGAGGTTGTCGCTTGTCGCCATTTCATTTTAGGCTCTGTCGCTACTTTTTGGGTCATGTCGCTTGTCGGAATTTACCCTGGCAGGGCCTCTAATAAGATGATTTCTTTTCTTTTATTCCCCTAGCCCTCACAGCCAAGTATGAATTTTTAACAGTTTATAGCTTTCATTCGGATACAGAGTATTCACTTTAGACTCTTCCGGATTTAAAATATTCGGGCACACCACAAGGTCGAGACTTTACTTCGAATTTACCAACTTTACGCAACTATGTATGCAAAACACCCATTTCCGAGTCGCCGGAAGCAGAGTGATATCTATTTTGGATACTTTAGTTTTCACGTCCCAGTCTATAGATATTTGCAAATTCCAATTATATTTTCATTAAGACTAACATTATGTTTTACATGTTAGAGACGGCGTTCTTTTAGGTATTTCACGGGCGCGGAAATGCAATTTTCTCGCTGAACGAATCAATTAAGATGTAACTGAATTACTTACCTCCAGCGGCCATATCACAGTATACTGGGAAAGGCTTCTCATCATCTGTAAGTATAAGAGATGTTTTATGCAATGGTTAGTTCTGGTGCGGTGGATGAGCAGTTTTAAACACCTCGAACTTCAAATATTTACAGGTGTAGCAGTCCGGGTTTACGCCCGTGTCTTTTAAGACAAGAAGTGTTTTCCAGTATGTCTCAAATTTTAACCCTGGGCCCGCCCTGGGGTTGTTCTAAAGGTGAATAACGCTATCCATTGGATTAATCTCTATCTAGTGGTAACACAATTAGTTTCCTTAATACCTATCCTCTGGATAGGGATTTAGCCGGTTGACATGATGGATGGCGCTATCCAACGTTTCAACAACGGGACCTGGGAAATACTACCTGGGCTAGCCCCGCAATAGACTGGCAACTCTTTCATGTAGGGTGCAAAGCAATGTTATAGAAACCTTCCTCACATAAATCTCCATTCAATTCCTAAAAGTAATATATAGATTCAGCCAGGGTTAAAAGCGAAGCTTTCGATGATATTTATAGTTTGTTCAAACAAAATATAAAATCGTGTAATGCTAAGCGGCGAAGGCAACGCCGGAGAACGGTGAAAAACAACAATAGGTATAATTAGCAAAAAAGCAACTTTGATTGTGCAGCACACTTTTTTGTACATTTCTTTGCCGTTGTTTTGCACGACTACAACGTGAATACGTGTTCTCGATCACTTTTTTTTCACTGCCGCTCATTATCACCTTACATTGGTGGCCGCTTGCATTCATTTTGTCCGCCGCTACAAAATTTTCATGTTATTCTTCCAGCAGAAAAATGTCTCCTTTGTTTTTTATCTCTCGCTCTAGATCTCTGACGCCCTTTTTCTTTGAGCTTTCTGTCTTTCTCCTGCTCTACATTCCAAATTTGTGGACATGACAATTAATCTAAGCTAAATACTTTAGACAAAACGGATACAGAAACAATTTCCGCTTTCCGTTTTAGTCTTTATTCAGGCTCTTTAGTTATCTCTGCTTTACAAGATGGCGGTGGCTATGCGATTTCCCACCAAAATAACCTCGAGTTGCATTTGGGTTGCCACACCTGTTGATTGAGTTATTTTGCATTGGTATGTCTGTGGTGCGGACGGACGGTTGCTCGGGCAATTTTCTCGGATGGGTAGATTTACTTCATTTTCTTACCCATGATGCTCCGCTGGCGCGCTTCGGCGCGAGAGCTCCGCTATTATTTGAGAGAATTTGATAAGGATTAAAGCATTTTGCATTTGATTATCACTTAAGAATTACTTTACTGGGGAGTTGTCAAACGCAAATTTTTATCATTTTTTTGAATAAAGAAAATCATGAAACTATAATCATAATATCAGTTACGTTGACTGTTACTTTAATAGCATACGCGTACAGAAAATGGCCAGAGTGAATAGTAAATATTTACTTATTGTATCATACCCGTTAGCCTGATCCAATAAATGCCATTTTGTTTTCCATTATTGGTGTTGATATCTTTACATGAAAAACCCGGATTAGCTTTTGATCCATAAGGAGCTTTGGAACTGTCATCTGTAGAGGCGCCATAGTAGGTATGGCCACAATGACAGTTGCAAGTATTGGAATATGAAGGGTCTACCATGCATAACACGATTCCACTAACAATGAGGACTAGCATGGTTAGATTATGCATGTTAACTGAAAGTCTGTAAAAAGAATAAAAAAGAACAGACATTATTACGGGTTAAAATGACACACCCTTTTGTAGACTTCCAGACTGATTAGAGATTCATCCAGCCGGCTAGTAAGTCGTGAGAGAGTCATGTGAGAGCCGCACGCGAAAGGAGACGCGAGTGCGAAGGGCATCGCCGCTCGCTCGCGCGTTCTGTCGAGGCAGGCTAAGATACATCTTAAGGTGGCTTACAACTATTGTTTATTTTTTCCAATAACGGCGTGCGCGACACGCGTGCTAAGCAAGCCACGCAAGATCTCTGACGCATACAAAACTCCTGCGAGCGAGACAAGGAGACCAAACAATATGAGAACCTACCGAATAAAATTCCCTATTACTTTTGGGTTTGTCAAGAAGTTTTTTGTAGCGAACGTTTTAGATATTTAGGTTCAGAAAATGTGAGTAAAACTTGTTTTTATTACTGCTGAGTTTTCGGCTCAAGAATGTGACAAATTAAAGAGAAAAAATTTTCGCACTAGCGTGTCATCTTGTAACATGCGCAAAAGGTAGAATTGAAACTGCGTCTTCGACTTTAATTTTGCATTTCGCTTTCTCTTTTCCTTTTTTTTTTTTTTTTTNGTTAACATGTTTTTTTTTACGTTTTTCTCCGGCCTTTGCAACCGAATCGTGCTCTTCCCCCTGCACAAGTTAGGTGTCAAAGTTGTTGTGTAAAACTGATGACGTCACAAGATCGAGGGTAAGATAAACCTCGATCAGGCGGTGCCGGTCCTCTTCCCCTATTAAATAAAACGCCTGCACGCCTAGTCAGAGGTCACGCTCTCTCTTGTTTCGTGCCGTAAGCCACGATGATGACAGCTGTTAGTTAATCTTATTATGCATAATCTAGTTTTCTAGATTTGTTCTCAGATGTAACAATTGCTGGTTTTCACTTGGTGAACGAGGAATCGTATTGTGTAGATAAGTGTCCGTCAATCTTTGTCTTTCAACGTCACAACGTCAGATAAGTTTCCGGGCGTATTGCGGATTGCAACCTCGTCCCCAGAGTTCTATCGTACTCTTCCTTCGGACATGAAAGACCCCAGGTCCGGAATGAAGTTGTGTTGATTGGGTCTCCAATAGTCTCCATGTTGTTTCGTGCTATGTGCCATGCATTGTTTCGTGTCATATATCACTCCGATGAAGGCAGTTTTCCCCATCTTCGCTTACTTTTCATATTAAGCACTTGTGTGTATTAGGTCTCCAATGGTCCCCATGTGTTTAGTGCTATGTATCATGCATAATTTCTTGTAATATACCACTCCGATGAAAGCAGTTTTCCCCATCTTATCTAGCTTACTTTTCGAGCTTAAGCAACTTCATTAGCTGAGTTTCGAGCGACGCACGTCGACCGGAAGTTGCATTCTTAGACAGTGGTTTTGCCCCAAATTTTTTGGATGTACGGTCTTTATAAGAGTAAAGCTAATACACTTACAAATTGGGTAACGTCAGGGCATTTCAAAGGGAGAAAGGCCTCACTTCCGTTTGACGTGCTTCGCTCAAGATGAAAACGCCTTTTGTTTAAAGTTCTCCATTGTTAGCGCACTTAATACTACCAGTGACTGCACAAAGCATCTTGCTAAGGAACAAACTAATTCTAGTATTTAGCTTACCTAGAGTCCATCTTAATTTTCCGAAAAAGAGCTAGCTAGAGCAGTTAATTTTAAAGTGCACGTCCTCCCAAGCTGAGAGATCATATTTACGTTCGTCAATTTTAGTTTTCTGGGACTATAATGCATAGATCTGCTTTACAAACCCTGCTTTCGCGTTAAAAATCAGACTCTCGAGACAATCAACCAACTCGCTGATATCATTAACGGCTTGTACAAAGCGCCTGTAAAGTGCAGCTTTATGTGCTCAGATACTGCTTAGTTTGCTTGTTGCTCAGTTTTAACAGATTAATAGTCGAAGTGGTCTTTATAGCGTACAAAATATAACGGGAAAATTTCACAAGGTCTTTTGTAACGCGCTGACAATACTTACGGCAATATAAAGCTGTTTCCAAACTCTCAAACGAAAAAGGTTTAACTAACCTCTCTGGGAACTTGTGAGGGGAATTTCACAACGTCAGTCTTTTCTTTGGTTTACCTTTAACGGTGTTGCTTCAATAACTGTTTGTGTACTGACATTTTACATTAGCTATATAGCATGGTTAAAGCTGGTTTCATTGGCTCAAACTTGAGAGAGTGATGATCTTAAGCCTGGGTACCAACGCTGGTATGGGCGAATGTGCATCCCACATCTCAGATGTCATAGCATTGTGACGTCACTTATATCGGTGGAAGAAAAAAAACCAACTTCATAACTCCCGATCCTGGCCTAACGTCTCAAGTGTGAGAAATGTCAAAGATTAACAAAACAAAATGAAACCAAACCAAACAAATATAAAACAGACGAGGAATAAGTCTTGGCAGGATTCATCGCGGCGATTATTATGCGTAACTACAACGAAACGTTTACTGTCAAAAGGTACATATTTGTCCTTGATAGAAGCACTCAATGTTTACTTTCCCACCTCCCAAGTCACTGATGGAGAGGAAACCTAATGCACTTTTGACGGTTTTGCAGAAGAGTTTAGCCAAGGTCCTTATCTTCTGTTACTGTGTATGTTATGGAGACCTTATAAATCTGTTGAGCGAGTAAATCCGATTACAACAAGTCGCGTTTTATTTGTGACAGGATGTGGGTTTAAACCACGATGCAAACTCCTGTTCGCAAAAGACACAAAAACGTGCTGGATATAGTTAAACCAACATCGCAGGATAATTGGCCAAGGCGGGAAGTACCATAATATTCTTTATACTGCGGAAATTTAAAGAATATTATGGTATTTTCCGCTCTGGCCAATAAACTAGTTTCAACACAGATCCAACTGTGCTTGCCATGAGCTTTTTCCCTGGCTCGTCCTGAAATAAAGGAGGAAGCCTTACCTTCACTGGGGCAAGGCGACTCTGCGCGGCCCATGTGTTTCGGGTCACGTAGTCCACCGTTCGCGTTGTCTACGTCACCGAAATGCATTGATCCAGAAGGCCTGGTAAGACATCGGTCAGGACATAGGCTAGAGAAATCACATAACAGACGACAACAGAGCTAGTGGGGTCCCGGCCTTGGGATTTTTTTTTTCTCCCTGTGGGTCCCAATTTGGCCTAAAAGAAAAGCTGAAAATAAGTTGAGAGCCCGGGGTCCTTCCCTAGATCTCGTGAGGTCTGCCATTGTATGTAGACTACGTTATGAGCCTTTTTCCTCCATTATTTCTCTTCATTCACTTCCTTTTTTATTGAGGCACTAAGAATACACATTAGAAAGCTAAACTCACAACTACAAGTCCCCGCCTTAAATGCTACGCTCTCGAGATTTCTTGGCAGGCGCACTTCATTGTTGCCTCAGCGCAAGTAGACTGCTAAGAAATCTGCCTCCTAAACAATATCTGAAAGTAAAAATAAGGATAGATTGTGGATCTTAAGATGACACAGTAATAACCACAGAGCGAGAAAAGTAAGAAGAAGCTGCACCGTACATCACTAATAGAGATAGAGTATTATTTTTTTTCGGGGGAAGGGGGGGGGGGGGGGGGGGGGGTCCTTTCCAAATTATGGGGACAAGGGGGGGGGAAACTTCTTTTTTTTCCCGGGAGACAATAAAACACAAAATATTTCCCTCAATTTTTTTGCGCGGTTT